TTTGAAATTAGGAACGTTTGATTTACAGAATGTAAGATTATTAGTGGGAATGTAAGATTATCAGAGAATAGGATTACTGAGAATGTTGTATTTTGTGTTTGGTTGGTTTAGTAAGAATATAAAATTACCGTGTTTGATTAAAGAAATAAAATATTATTGAAATGTATATTTGACCAAATTATTTTTATTATATATTTATTTTTTTAACAAGTTGAAAATATTTATATATTTTCTTAAAAAAAATTAAATTCATAAAATTTATATATATATATTTTTTTACAACATTAAAAATATAAAAATATTTAATGAAATGGTAAATTTTATTTTAACCTTTGAAGTTTATATAAAATTTTAATTATAGACATTTTTTGTAAATTTAAAATAGTTTAAGGATAAATTTGTAATTTAATCTTTGTAGAATTTCTATTATTCAATGACAGAATAATGATATTTAAAAAAAAATTAAGGGTATTTTAGTCCAAAACGCCGGTAATCAAACAATACTTAAGAAAATGGAGGTAATGACATTCCCGGTAATATACCTCAAAAAATCTATTATTGATAATAAAACTATCGGGAATGAGATTCCCAATCAACTAAACATGGGAATGTGGATTTCATTCCCATGAGAATCCCACATTCATTGTTCCAAACACTCCCTTAGGGTGCGTTTGGTTTACAGAATGTAAGATTACTAGTGATAATGTAAGATTATCAGTGGGAATGTAAGATTATCAGGGAATAGAATTACTGGGAATATTGTATTTTGTGTTTGGTTGGCTTAGCAGAAATGTAAGATTACCGTGTTTGGTTAAAAGAATAAAAGATTATTGGAATGTATATTTGACCAAATTATCCTTATTATATATTTATTTTTTAATAAGTTGAAAAATATTTGTATATTTTCTTTAAAAAATTTAAATTCATAAAATTTATATAATTTTTTACAAAATTGAAAATATAAAAAAGTTTAATGAAAGGGTAAAATTTTATTTTAACCCCTAAACTTCATATAAATTTTAATTATAATTTTTTTGTAAATTTAAAATAATTTAAGGATAAATTTGTAATTTAACCTTCATATAATTTTTATTATTCAATAACAGAAGAATTATATTTTTTTTAAAAAAATTAAGGGCATTTTAGTCCAAAACGCCGGTAATCAAACAATACCTAAGGAAAGGGAGGTAATGACATTCCCAGTAATATACTCTAAAAATCCACTATTGATAATCTTACATTACCGGGAATGAGATTCTCCGGCTAACCAAACGGGAGAATGTAGATTTCATTCCCATGGTTTGATAAAAAATTCACTATTTTTTAAGATTTGATAAAAAAAAGTTTTTTTTTGTATAAAAAATTTAATTTTTAATATATTTTAGTTTTAATTGAAATTTTTAAATTTTATAAATGTGACAAGTGTTAATGGATTTTTTTAACGATTATGATGACATAGACACCTAAATAAGAAAAAATATGTAATTTGGGCATTTTTTTTATAGTGTAAACTACAGAACTGATCACTTTTGTTTAAGTTTGTACATTTTTTCTCACTGAATTCAAAAAATATAATATTTTGGTCACTTTTGTTTTTATATAATTAAGATGTGGCCGTTAAGGGTTAACTGTCATTAGATATTTAACAGATTTTTGATATGTTACAATGAATTTATAAAAGTAAAAGGGTAAACTACGCAAACGGTCACTAATGTTTGAGTAAGTTTTGTTTTTCATATTGAAGTTTCAAAAATAACAAATTGGTTACTAAAACATCAGATAGATCTTTGAAAAATAATTTTATATCTAATTTATTCAAAAAAATTATGATTTTATCATTCAAAATATTCGATTTTTTCATGTCCAAAAAAGTTAATTTTTAAGTTTTATTTTTAAAATTTAAAAAGTATATATTAGAAAATTTTAGAAAGCTTTTTGGGTAAATTAGATATAAAATCATTGTTCAAAGACTTTTTTGAAGTTTACTCAAACATTAGTGACTATTTGTGTAGTTTACTCTTTTTTAATTTTATAAATTCAATGTGTCACTTCAAGAATCCTTAAAGGCCTAACGACAATTAACTCTCAGTGCTCACATCTTAATTAAATAAAAAATAAAAGTGATCAAATATTATGTTTTTTGAATTCAACGATTAAAAATATACAAAACTTAAGTCTTTTGTATACTGTTTATGTTTAACTTAAAAAAGGTGAAAAGCAATAAATCATTAATAGAAAGAGGAAACGCTAAGCTTGCATGAATTGAAAAATATAATTGCAGGATTCTGAATCTTCGAGCTCTAGTTCAGCAACCGAGACCAATAAGCCTAATGAGCTGTCAAAAGGTGTTCATGGAGTGACAAAGTTGGAGGATACATCAACTCGTCAGACTTCAGTCCCAAGCGCCACAAAACCCCCAGTTGTTGGAAATGGACCTAGCCACCATGTTAGGCATTCAACTGTTCGGGGAAGGAGTTGTTGTAAGTTTTTGTTTTCTACATTCATGACGTGTTCTGCTTTTGGCCTTGTTGGTTTTTCTGTTAGCTAATGAGTATTTCCAATCATTGATTAAATGATAATTGCAATGTGTTAATAATCTTGTTCTAACTTCTGATTTATGTGTTTGCTTTTACAGGGAAACAAGACGGTATCCATGGGTTTCACTGATCTTCCATGTGAGGAAGAGTAAGTGATGTTCCCATGATCTGTAGAAAAAAAAATGATCATTGTATAAATTTGTCAGCTGCAAGTTTTCCTGGTTATATAACTCATGCAGACCCGTAGAAGTTCCAGATACTTCTAAAATCTTATTTCATGCAAGCAATCTACCCTTTGCATAAACTAATTTCCGATGTCAAAAGAGGAAAAGCAAAAATAATGTGGAGCTGACCTTTGTATGTTGTTAATGATATCTCTATTTTCTTTTGTACTTATTACCTGATTTTGACTCAATTTTAGGGCGCTTCGCTTGAGTCTGAAAAATCAGACTTGCAAAAGAGACTCACAGAAGAGGTCCTGCTTTACCCACCCTTTCTAGTTATTTTTATCACATGTTTTTGAAAATTTCATATTATCTTTCTAATAAAGATTGAAGGTAATACAATTCTTGAAGCCAGCTTGGAAAAACGAAAGAAAACATTGCATGAGCAACGGCTAGCTCTGGAGAAAGAGGTATGTTTGTCTGGAGATCTTTATATATAATAAAGGCTACCTTTTCTGCTAAAATATTTGTAAATTTTAGTTAAGAGACATGTTTTTGCATTTCTTTCTCTCCTCTTCAAGATCAATTGTTTTTCACTTGGCTTAGCTGAAACAAGTCCTAATTATGTATCAGCAGTGAGTAGATGCATGAAAATGCATCTAGATGAACAACTATACATTTGGTAATGTATGGAATCTAATATTTTCTTCTGCATTTATTAATTATTCGTTAGTTAGTTAGTTAGTTGCACAAAGCTAATGGATTTTTTTTTCATCTCAAAGTGCTGTGCAAATTTTATGTGAATGGTCCTGTTTTGATTGCTGCTCCTGGAAGTACTTATGTAGGTTGCAAGATTAGAGGAAGAGCTTCAAAGCGCAAGAGAAAAGAGGATGGCTCTTGAAGCAGGAATTAACCCATCTCAAGGACCCGCAGCTCCACCAGTTAAACTTGACGAAAAGGTAAACTCACATACATTTGAGGCAGCATAAAGTTTCCTAGATTAAGAATGGCATTGATTCTGTTGTTTTACTCTGACGATTTCACTTGATTTGCTTCGAAATCTGAACCTCTTTACCTACTTAGTCGAATTTAGAGTGTTTAATTTGTTAGCATGGAAATAGAACCAGTTAACAAATACCGTTCTCCTGAAAGTCGTGTAAAGCTAAATTCCAATGAATGGTCAAATGTTAGATTATCCCTAATCTGATCACTTGAGCAACTTTGCTTTATCTTAAATTCACTTCTCTTGGCTATGCTGGAATCTGTTCAGAGTGTTTTTATTTTTATATAAAAGCTTGTACAGTCGTTCAGAGTCAATTCCTCAGCTTCAGCTCTTACAAAACTGACAAATTCACTCAACAACTTGATGAAGGAACTCCGAAGCCAGACTGAAAATGAAACGGCTGGCATGGAGAAAGGCAGTGATTCAAGTCAAGCAGCTCCAAGCTCCTCAGATAAAGGCAAAGGAGCAGAACCTATCAAAACTGTTAAAAAAGGGGATAAAGGAAAAGGAGCAGAACCAACCAAATCTGTTAAAAATCCATAAAAAGGCAGAGGACCGGACATTAGCCAATAACTAGAATCCAGCCAATAAAAACCCATGTGCAAGACGGGATGATCTGCTGAGGATGATGCTTTAGAACACGAGGAAAGTTTACCAGAGATGGATGATATTGCTGGTGGGAGACCGACTGGTGATGCCCATACAAAGAGCAAGAGCAGAGGTTCTTTACACTTAAACCCAAGATGTACATATGCATATATCAACTAGCATGTCGTAGATGTACTAAGCTGAATAACTTGGAATTTGGTGGCCGAACTTTGTTGTCAGAAGAACCAAGCAATGATTGCCAATAACTTATCATGGGCTGGTCAACTTTTTTATCTAACATTTCTTCATATCGTTGACATTTTGTTGAAGATAAGTAATCACTTCACCTATTAATACAGATACGTGATTATATTAATCTCGTTGACATTTAATGGTCAGCGTCTTGGTTGCTAGCAATTTTAAGCTTCTAGCTCGCTTCATGGTGTTTTAGGCCTCGATCATTGTGTTGTTTTCCTTGGTCGGGAATAAGATCTATTATCAACAAGTATCTGCTAACTTCGGCCCTGCTGATCCAATCCAAGCCTAATCTGGAATTATTGCCATTGGTGTTTCATGATTTGCACAAGGAAGGTGTTCTTATACTGGGAAAGAAAGGAATGTATTCTTGAGATTAAATTTTAATGGTGGAAAGCATAGAAGGGACTAGGAGGACAGTTAGACCGAAACTTAAACGATATTATTACATAATCACCAAAATAACAGGGCTTCTTTGTCCTGTTTATTAAACTTCTAATCCAATCTTTTTTCCCGTTACATGAAACCAGAAACTTAGTGCCTAAACGAAAAGAAAACAAAGAGCAACGATAAATGAAACTAGTTGCAAGCTTCACGAGCAATTCCCAAGCGAGAATTTGCGACATCAAATAGAATCCTATGGTTTTGCTGCTGCAAATTGGCTATTACATTCATGGCGGCGTTCACATTGTTTGGAACCGGTGCTATTGCCAAGCAAGCACGTGAGCCTTCACTAGTATGCAAGAAGCTGTTCTCCATCGGCAGTTTCATGGACAAGCCTTGAAAATGTAACGTTACTGGTGGGGCCTCGACTTCTGCTGATGCGTCGAAGCATGTCTCGAATACTCCTATTGTTGTAAATGGGCCTTTCATTTGTTTCACAAACTCATTTCGGATTGCCTCATAAAGGGGTTGGACGAATCGGGTTACAACCGTACCCGAGTCGATTATTGTCCCTGCCCCGGTATTCGGGTTAAACGCTAGGTATTCTGGGGCAACAGGGACCCGAACTCGGCCTACACTAACTCCGGTTAGGTTAACGTAGTAAAGTGAGGGTCGGTGAGGGTTTTTCAACAACGGGGTGGTTTTAATATTATTGGGCTGACCAACCGGCCCGAGTTTGAGTGAACCCGAAAAGTAGTAGGACTTGAAACTCGGTAAACAATACGAAAATACACTCGAGTAGAGTGCCCCGGATTGTGAGAGTAGTGACATGGGTCCCCGGCCCAAACCCAATAGCCCTTGGGAAGGGACCGACTGACCAGAGATGGTATTAATACATCCAAATGCAAAATTTGGAACAACATCATTGGCTAATGTTAAGGAATCTTGAACCAAGTTGGCAGAGAAAGAAGAATCTCCGCCGTAGGACTGGTTAAAAGAGCAAGCCGTTGTCCCGGTAGCCGGGCATGAGAGCCCACGGGCCTGGGTGCATTTGGGCAAGTAGCAATCCATCGAGCCATAACTCGAAGAAGCATTGGGTGAGAAGGTGGTGGCCGAGCAACCGGTGCAGCCGGAGCATGGAACCCATGCAACATCATTACTAGTGTCGAGCACCATGAACATGGTCTGACCCGGGGTGCCAAGCTTGACCTTAACAACATAGTTGCCAATGCTTAGGATTTGCTGACCCGAAGCAATCGGAACCTTAGTGGTCTTCTGGGCCACAAGGCTGGACAAGTACTTGACCCTTGCTGGGTCTTTCGAGGCCATGTTGATGATTGTGTTGACCCATGACTCGGGTCTGGGTGGGTTAAACGGTGAGCATCGGCCGTAGATTGGAATCACCGACAGGTCCGAGTCATCTGACCGTGAACCGCAAGGATCTAAAGCCTTGGTGGACGAAATGAGAAGAACAAAGAACAAGAGTGTGGTAGCCAAGTCCATGCCCTTAGCTTGGAGTAAAAATGGAAAGAGATTTTGTGATTGGTGTGCATTAGAAATGAGTACCCAAAGATGATTTTATACATGCAATTTACAGCATTAGAATTACTGAAATAGCCTTGCAGGTTCTAATTTTTTTAAACAATTTCAGATCTGCTAAAACGATAGAATACCCTAGTAGGGATGAGAGTGGGCCAATAAGAGGCAGAGAATTGGCCGCAAAATTTCTGTCCCTATGCGCAATGATGTTGGATCAATATCAATAAAAGAAGTCAAATTGCAGGGGGAAAGTGAAGCAAAATGAGAAGTTTTAGATGCCGACGAAATGGAAAGGAAAGAAAGTAAGCCTGCCTGTTGACGGATTATGAAATTCCGGTGTTGGGGTTGAAACTTTATGGTATACTCGGGGTGCATTATTTTTATGAGTGGATGATTTGTTGATCTCGTGAATCTCTGCTCGAATAATGCTTATTTTGTCCCTACGTAAATTTGCATGAGATGGGTCAGTCACGAGTATCGAGTCACGGCTCACGGGTGTACAAAGACTTTTGTCGAACTGAACCGGGACCCACCTCTTGTGATAGTATATTTTTTGCAATAACGAATGAACTCTCGATCTGCAGATTCCAAGAGAGTTAACTGGACCTACATCTTCACCATCTTATCCTATACCTATATGCCTTTTAGGCATAACAACAAAAATTACCCCCCAACAGTTACACAAATGGCCATTTTGCTCCCCCATCTTTTTTTTAGAGTACTTTAGTTCTTAACATTTTATTTAGGAGCAAAATGTCTCATGAGTTGATGAAAATCGTTAATTGACTAATAGTCAAAGTTTTCTATTGATGTGGTAGGTCAACGTATGATGCTACATTATCAAAAAATATTTTTTTATTTTTTTAAAATATATTTTTATAAGTGTATATGTAATTAATTATAATTATATTTTAATCTAAAAATAATATTTTGTTAAAGTGACATCACGTATAAACTTATCACATCGGTATGAAACATTCACAATTAGTTAACTTATAATTTTCATCAAACCAGGGGACATTTTGCTCCAAAAATAATAGGGACAAAGTGACCATCTGTGCAAATATTGGGGGCTCCAAGTATTTAGTGATTCAAATATTTTAAATCATATTAACGTTATTTTTCTATTTCATTTTAATTATTGTTGTTAAAAGATTAACAAAATTATTGATGTGATATTTTTAATTTTTTCAACGATGGGTGACATGTCGATATGATTGCTAATTTTTTAACTGTCAACTACTAAAATAAAATCGAAACGTTGTATGACTTTAAAAAAAATGTTGAATGATCAAAACAAAAGCATATGAATAATTAAATGAATAAATACATAGTTTACCCAAGTTTTTATTTAGATTAGTAAATATTTGATTAATTATCTTAGCTTATTTGTTAGATTTACAAGAGAAGACAAGAAAGGGTTTGGCTTTCCACTTTTACGACTCACTCCTCGATCCAATATTCTGCATGGGGAATCAAGCTCACGAGACTGTATTGTTGAGAGCATTACTAGGTGTTGTCTTAAGAAGACGACATAGAATGGTAACTTTAAATAATATTATTATTCAGAGAGAAGTACAATTGTGGTAAACTTTAAGGCAGTCGGACATCAAACTATTAATTTGCATGCAACAACAATCCAGGGTAAACTTTTTCATTTTTGCTTCGAATGATTCTAGCACTTTTCCCAACCGTCCTCTCTACTTTATAATGGCTGCATGAATGACCTGAGGGCTGATATGCATGTCATTTCGCCCCTTTTCATTGATGTTCACGTAGATAATGCAAAGCCCCTTCTTAATTGTGTGAAGGGATGGGATTGGTTGATACCTGATGCACCATTCCACCTTACAAAGTTATGATTTTCAATTCCTAAACTGTCTTACAGTTTTAATTCATCAAATAAGAATGAGCAAAAATTATATGACCCGAAATACAAAATTTCATTGATAAAAACATATAATATAGTATATTAATATTAAAATTTCATTGTGTACGTATAAATCTCTGCTGAGAGTCATCGAATTCAAATGTGCAACGCGGATTGGTTCGGATTAGTCAGGGTGAAACCCTGGAACCTGAAGGGCTACTAAAAAATTTAAATATTAACATATAATTACAAATGTATCAATATAATAGTTTTAAAACATTGTAACTTTGAACTCATCAAGTGGTCTTAGTAGCAAAAGGGAATGTTATTCTCCCTAAAGGTCTTGAGTTTGAGTAGTTACGTCTGTAGAATGCACGCGCGTTGTCAATTAATTAAAAAAATTAAACAAATACTCCTTATAATAATTTAAATTATTAAAAAACATTATAACTTTTAGAAAATAAATTAAGACACTTGGTATTAGTTTAGGTTTAAATCTTAATATTTATATGTTTATATTTTAAAATTAACCTAATTATTTTTATACGTTTATTCTACGAATATATTTCATATGAGAAATCACAATTTAAATAAATTAGTATAAAATATTTAATATTATAATTGGAATATTTTCATAAAATAAATAAAATTAATTCCAGTCATAGTGGTTAGTCGTTGCACTCTTCTCCTAAAGATTTTAGTTCCAATCATCTTAAAAGCCATGAATTATATTAATTTATTAAAAAATAACATGTGGAATACTATATCCTTTAAGTAAATTAGGTTGGGAGGGTCACTCTCGCCTATGTAGTACTCGATCCAAATTAGTCGATTAATAAATTAGATACTAGTAATTTTTAGAATTAATCGATTAATAAATCAGATATTGGTGGTTATACAAAAAAAATAAACGCATGAAGATGTCACTTCATCTACAGTTAACTAATAACAAACTGGTGACAACTGATTACTATGCAAATTCTTAAAGAAGACGGATAAAACTAAAAATGTAATATTTTATTATAATTGATTTTATTGAATTTTTTAATTAATCAATTTAATATGCAATTGTGATAAAACATTTGTAACTATTTGGGATAACATTAATGTTTAAAATTTCTTCACTATTATTAATCTTTAATCTTTCTATGTCAGAAAAAAGGTAATCACAAAATTATAAGTAATTGTGACAAAATTCATTAAAGTCGTTATTAATATAATAGTGACAAAGTTATTAGTGACGACTCAAAATTTTTGTCATTATGATATTAGTGACTAAATTTAATACTTTTAGTGATCATTCTTAAGGCTAGTTTGATATAACTCTTAAAAGTGTTGTACGAAAGTGCAATTTAAAATTTAATTGTTTGAGATTGTTGTTAAAAAGTGAGTTTGAAAAGATAAAATGTCCATTATAGACAATATGTTGTGAATTAAATATATAACATTTAAATTATATTTATAGTTATATATGAATTATATCAATTTAAACCATAATGATTCAAAACAAGTATTATTATTATATATGAACTATGTTAATTTAAACTACAAAAATAAAAAAATTCAAATAAAAAATATAATTATAATAAAAATATATTTTATACAACTTACTATTAATATTTTAATATATAAATCATAAATTTTATTTACTTTTAAACAATTAAAATAAATTATTAAAAGTAATAAATTATTTTTTAAGATGTTAAAATTAAATTATTAAAATAAAATGTAAATATAATTGAATGGAGTCCATGCATTAATAGGTAAAATTATAATTTGATTACAAACGTAAAGTTGAAAATGAAAAAAATTAAAAATCCTAATTTTTGTCATTGATTTGAAACCACATTTTTCACCGTAAATTTTTTATTCGTTTTTACATGTTTGATATTCATTGAAAAAATCAAAAAAAATATTTTCAGTAAAAACTACCAAACAACAGAAAATGAATTACATAATATCATCAACATCAAAATATTCTATCGATACAAAGTAGCAGAAACACAGAGCAAAAATCTGAAGGAGTTCTCACTTGGCTTCTTTTATACTCCACGGCAAAGACACAATAATAATGGCTGGATTAGATTTTTATCTTATCTAAAAAGGGAAAATTACTATACAAGTCTTGCTTTGTTTCTAAATTTTCATTTTTTGGGCTTATGAACTTGAGCTTCCTAATTAATAAAATCTCTAATAACCCAATCCAATCCTTTAAGCCTCAATGAAATTTTCCCTAAATTAACGTCCAAATATTAACTGGATCGGCCTGTAACATTTAAGCTCTTTAAACCCAATCTCAGATTCTCAGACTCTCAAATACCCATAGTTGAAGCTCTTGGGTTGTTCCTCGACGGTTGAAGATGGGTCACCCGAGCAGTTTTTGAACTGTAATTCGATAGTGAAATTCATGAGATTCAAAAGAGGGAGTCGAAACGGCAGCAGCAAGTTGCAGACGACTATTGTCAGTTACCATAAGAGGTTCCCTTGGTTTATTCTTTATCCTTTTCTTCGAGTACTTTTACCAATGCACTGTCTTTGTCTTTGAATTATGAATAATTTAAAGAAGAATCAATTTGATCGGTAAATGGATATAAATCCCCTCTTAAAATAGATGAAGTTCTGGTAATGGATTTGGATAAGAGTTTTGACACACTAAAGGATGAAGAAAGAGGAGGTGGCAACTATGAGTAAGGATGAAGAAGAATGGGTGTTTTTACCATTATTGATTGCTCAACGGGCTATGTAAACGATTAACTGGCTAGGTAAGTGGTTAACGGTCCAGCTTAGATTTTTGTCACCATGTTAACGGTTGTGAACGTGGTGACAAATCAATAATGTCGAATGATAAATTTTTTTTAAAGTGACTAGGTAAATTGTTAACGTCGAGTGATAATTTTATTACAAATCGATAATGTTAGTGATCAACTCATTACAAATCGATAATGTTAGTGCCCAATTTATAACTTCTGAATGTTCAATAGGAAAACTAAAAACTTACTTAAAGTTTAGTGACCATTGGTATAGTTTACCCTTTACATTGTCCAAAATCACGATCATACGCGAATGAAGGGGAGAATTAGGAATGGGCCGCGCTTGGTTTTGGACGATAATAGAAAAGCCTAAGCATT